ATCATTGTTCCACAAGTGCATGAATGTTTAGGAAAAAAGGCAAGTGCTTTAGTGTTTTCAAATTTGATTAATGCTTTATGTCGAAAGAAAAAGGTAAGTGAAAATGCTTTTGATAAAATTTTATCTGGAGTTTTGGGTATTACTAGGGCCAGATTACCATTATTTTTTAGACTTGAAAATCCAAAATCTAAGTCCCCTGTTCATGAGAAGTCTGCAGATGATGCACAATCTAATGTCGAGGCAAGGATGCTTGCTCTCGAAGAAGTTCTTATGTAAACTCATACTCATTTACACGCTTTACACGGTGATATCAGCATTTTTTTGGATATGTCAAACAGAGAGACGCTGTGGTGGAAACGATGTTTCAAGAAATCCTTCCACACATCCAACAGAATTTTCCAGGCTTTTCGGATAAAATTCTATTAGCATTCAATACCGAGGCATCTCTCGATCTAGAGCAAGATGACACAGATCCTCCAGTTGAAGAACCGACTCCAGACCCTCAACGTTCCGAGACCCCTGACTCACCTGTTGTTCCTGCTGAAAAAACACCCAATCCAGTTCCTATGCATGATCCCTCTCTTGTATGATGCAATGACCGACGTACCAAAACATCGGCTGGACGCGTCAATGTATCGCAGTACTACTCTAGTTCTTCAAAGTCCAGCTCTGCACCACTGCGAAAGCACACCAAACGAGGAGCTGTCAACACCTCCAAGGAAACACCACCACACAAACCATGAGGTACCTCTACTTCCATCCATTTGCATTCATTTTGTATTTCATTGCATAGCATATAGTTTTATTTATTTTAGTTCTCTTTAAGCATTGAGGATAATGTTTCTCTTAAGTTTGGGGGAGGTAGTGTTCTCGGTAGAACATATGCATGATAGTATTTATGTAACATTATGCCATGGCATCAGTAAGTGGTAGAACAGTTAGATAAAATGTCTTGATGATACCCGATGATGATGAAATTGTTAGGCTAAGAAATTGAATATAAATGACTCTTGAGAATGATAGAACTGACTCTAGGGCTTGATGCTTTGTGAATTATTTTTACACGATTTGTATGTTCTCTATACTTAGGAAATTTAGAAATTTTTTTATGAATGAACTCTAGTTAGTCTTGGCATTGAAATTTAGTATTATGCTTGAAAGATAAATACAAAATAACTCCCTTATATCTGAGACTATGAATAAATGCTTAGGCATAGCGGTAGAGGGACACTCCGCTTTACCGTGGCATTACCTAGAACTATCTTTAATAAATGACAACCACACACATATGAGTTAATAAAAGTAGTCACAGGATGACTCTACTTAACTAGCTTAGGGTGGAAGGTATACTCCCTTTCACCTATAGTGTAGGAAGGTAGGTGTGATAAGCTGACTCCCTTCGTAGCAGCATTTGTAAAAAAAAATTCAATAAAAAGGGAAGTAAAAATATGCTTAATGAATGAGTAAATGCCTTGGCAAACACTAGGGAACTTGATTAGAAATTGTTTAAATTTGTTAAGTATAGATTAAATACAATCACGCACACACATTACCACAAAGAATCTTGATCTAGGAAAAAATACTTGAATTCTTGATATGTCTAGCATGTTGAAGCCAATTTGTTTTAGGGTTGAAATTCAATTTTTGTCATGATGTCATATTCTTGAAAATTGCCATGACATTCTGATTATGTTAATTGCTATTCATTACTTGAGGACAAGCAATAGCTTAAGTTTGGAGGTGTGATAACTTCCTAAAAATGATACTTTTAAGGCCTTTTTCACTTAAGTTATTATTTGTTTAAAAGTTCATTTTAAGATTATGTAGTTGCATTTGTGGTGGTATTGCTATTTTATCTTTTAAGGATGTAGTATGAGAGAAAGGTACAGTTGCTTAGGGTGTGCAGGAAATAGCAAGCAAAAGATCGCACTAGGAAGGAATGTCGTGTCATCACATGCTGCTGAAGCAGATTGAAATGCCTTGTCCTTTTCTGGTGCAGAAAAGGACAAAAATATATTTTGTAAAAATGACAGCTGGCAAAGCACGTGAATGATAGTTGTAACCGCCTGCTGCGGACTATTACCACTTGAAAGGATAAGACTCACGCCTAAATAGTGACTCTAGGGGTATGATGGGTATTTTGAGAGCAAAAATCCCATAATGACCCTTATATATTTTTATTATATATTACACCTCACATGAGAAAGAGAGAAAGGAGGAATTTTTCATCAACATTTTCTTATCTTCTTCATTGTATCCCCTTCTTCTTTCTTGAGTGGTGTTCCTCCATTGATAAGCTCCATGGAGTGGCGAGCTAGACGTCTGAGAGGAGATAGTGAGTTAAGGCGAGTATTGGTGTTTGAGGAGAGCTTCGGTGGCATGCATCGAAGGCTTCTTCTTCATTCCCTTTGCTGCTATTTTTTTCATTTATTGTTGGGTTGTTTGGAACCCCACCATGAACTAACCTTATTTGGTGGGGTTTTTTATGGATGTTTAACAATATTTTAATGGTAGATTTATGTTTATCTTTTGTATTCACTTGCTTTGCTTATGAATGCTTCATCGTCTAAGTTTGTAGGAGGCATGAGAGTGTCCATTTCTTAGATGAAGGATAGGTGTTCGAGAAAAACTTAGCTAAAATTACTTGTAGTATTCGAGAGAAATACAAGAAAGATCCACATAAGCAATGGGCTATAATATTTTCTTAAGCTTTGAACCGGCCTAGTAATACTATATCCTAATCCCTTAGTACTTGAGAGAGACTAAGATAGGATTTCAATGACTAAAGAGGGTAGTTTTTATCAATAGTGTAGACTGTCATAGCTGAGACTGAGAGGAGATGATGTGGCATTCTATTATGTTAAGTTCCTTTGACTAGAGATAGCGGGAGTATTTTCAGCAAACTCTATCGTGCAAGTGAAGTTTAGATAGATTAAATATGCCTGAGAAATAAGTTATAGCATCCATAAATCAATCCCTACCATTCATTCCCGTGGAAGCTTGTTGTGTGAGGATTATCAACTTATCATTTATTTGTTGTTTTTACTGTTTTTCATTGCCTTGACATTACATCATTTTCACTATTATAATCTGTTCTTGCCACTACATTTCCATTTGTTATCCCATCAGACTTTCAATCCATATCCATCAAAATACACTTTCCATTGCCGTGACATTTTTCATTAGTACATATCAACACTAACTATACTTAGATAGAGTAGTGCTTTGCTTTGGTTAAACTTTTGTAATTTCACCCAATCCCTGTGGAGACGATACTCACTCATCACTTTATTACTTGAGCGATTTTGTATACTTGCACATTATTTGTGTATAATTTTATAGTACTCACAATATGCAACAACCGTAAATAATGCGAGTCATACTCGGGGTGGGTCGTCGCAAGGTCATACATGACTCGAACAAAAAAAAAATACATAAATCAATAAAAAGTTAGCGGTTAGTGGTTAGATGTTAGAAAAGTTAGTTGTTAATAGAGTCTAGATCGTAATAATACGGGTCATACCTCGGATCGGGTCACCGCAATGTCGTATAATAATTTAAACAAATTAATAAAAAGCTAGAGTGAGAAATTAGTAAAGTATGGATCGTAATAATGTGGGTCATACCCCGGATCGGGTCACCGCAAGATCGAATCAAACATTAACAACAAATTAATTAATTAATTAAACAATGGCTAAAATACAATAAAATAAAGAGTCAGTGGTTAATATGCAATAAAATAAAAGTTAGTAATTAATTCAAAATATATAACATAGCAGAAATAGTGATTAAATTAAAAGTTAGTAAAATCAGCAGATATATTCGAAATAAATATAAAAACAAATAAGTGACCAGAGTGCAAAAGGGGCTAAAATACGGAGGACTTAAAGGTGATTTTCCCTGATAGTGACCAAAGCATGAAACAAGCTGAAACTAGGAGGACTCGAGAGTAATTTGACCGAAACAATGGTGACCAAAATGTGAAAACAAGCTAAAGGTCCAAGGACCTTAACGTGATTTACCCAAAAGAAAAGATGAAACTTTGTTTCATTTCCTTTGCCTTACGAACGGAGCTTCTCCAAGCTCCAAACCAGGCTTGGCCACCACACGCCAGCCCTCGCACATCGGCCACCGGCTCGGTAACCAATGCACTCCAACCAGGGACCATGACCAGGACCAAAGGAGGACCGGCCAAAATACTATTTCCCCCTTTTCTCACTCTCTCTTCGTTCTCTCTTTTCTTTCTTCCCCTAAGCTGCCGAGAAGACTAAAAAACAAGCCTCAACGTCGGCCACCAACAACTGACGTTACTTGACCGTAAGTCGGTATCTCTCGTACGCCATCCATAGCTCAACCGTGGCCACCCCTAAGCAAAATGCTGGCCCGAAAAGAAAGAAAGAAAATGGATCCAAAACAAAAAAAAATGTTACCTTGATTTTTTCAATATTTTTGGGGACCCCTGTTACAAAGAAGGTTGGGGTTTTTATAACCCCAACTATTACAATTTTTATCATTACGAATAAACGCCATCTTGATCAATCATGATGTCATCAAATCAAATCCTAAGAAAACATATAATAAAAAGAACGGTCAAACAATCAAGAAATAAAATGAAAAAATGTATCATAAAGACATAGAAAATTGTGTAAAAAATGTAGAATTACTATTATTAAAAAACTAAAAAATAAATAATAGAAAAATAAAACCTACAATCGACAATCAGTCAAAATTAGTGTCGTCATCGATTAAACAAATTTAAAGAAAAAATAATTTAATCAATAGAAAAAGATACAAACTCTTAAAAAAACGCCCGGCTAGGATTAAAGTTATATATTTAACAATTAATCAATATTTTCATTTTAATCTATTTTAAGTATGAACTTTTTTTAAACCATTTTAGTGTAGAACTATGGATAACGCTATAATTTCACTCTTGTCCTGAAGTTCATAAGAATCTTGAGATCTGCTACCTTCTTTAACTCTATCGTCAAGTTCCAAACATGGCCTATTCGTACTGGCTCGCTCGCTTGCGTTATTGTTCGAAGAAATCTTCTTTCTCCAATGCTTTTCGTGATTCTTTTTACCATAACAAATTTCAGTCTAGTACTCGTCATTACAACTTACCATCCACTATACCTGAGAGAACCAAAACCCGGTTTTTTTCGTGGTCTAGCTCTTTTCTTCCTTTGGCTTTCGCTCTTTCAGCTGGGTCCTTTGCCTTTCAATCCCAGAATATCCAGCCTTCCCTCTGCGAACCCCCTGATCTGGATTCCGGGTTTGTTAGTTAGTTTCATATTTTTGGGTATTATTCATTTTGGATCGAATGAAATTTATATTTCAACTGTTGTTACAGTTAAATTTCTTAACTTTTCTTTTATGCCGTTTTGTTTTTCTTAGCAGACTAAGCAATCGTCCAAGTAAATGTCTTTTTTTTTCATTTTCTTTCCAGGAAAGTGACCATTGGTGGGAAGGCAAGCACGGAGTTTGTGGTTAAGGGCATTCATAAACAAATTCCACAAGAGCTTATTGACGAATTAAAGGCTATTTGTCAAGTATTTTACATTTTAATCTTTTTTGGTGTTTAAATTCTTTGTTTAGGAAAGGGTTAGTGAAATAAGCAAAATTTTACAGGATAATATGACTTTGGATTATGATGAAAGATTCTACCATGGAAAGCCACAGAACAGCTTTCATAAAGCAGTAAATATTCCTGATGTGGTTGTTTTCCCTAGGTGAGTCTGATTATTCAATTTTGGGGTTCAGCATTTGAGCAATTTTTTTTTTCTTTTTTCTTTTTGTGAAAAAAAAAATCAGTTTGCTTTTCTTTGTGAAAATGACTATATTCAAACCAATAATTAAATGGAAATTGCAAAGTAAACATAATAATCAAACTGAATTTAATTTTATAGGTTTGGGAGCCCCTCTTAATAGTTCTGGGCTGCAGAAGTGAAAGTAGGCTTGACAATTGCAGTATTAGTTGTTTATTACGGATGATGAACTTGTAAAGCCACACAACTTCTTTGGAAGTCGAGTAAAAATGCAAGGATGCTGCTAAAACAGATAAATGCATCATTGGTTAGAATGTCCAAGAAAACCCTGAAGCAATTTGCATATTTTAAACTTTGCATATCCTTTAATACTATCATTGAACGTGACATGTATGTCATGGTATTGTAGGACCATATTGAACTTGAACATGTAGCAAAATTGGAAATTTTCTTTGCTGTACATTGGTTGTCTTAGAGTAGTATTTTAAGAAAAAACCATTTCAGAGTCTGTCATTATGTTTCTTATAATATGATCTATTTTATGACAAATTATTTCTCTACTTCCAGATTCTGCTGTTTTTTCCCTGATATATTTGTTAAATGTTAAGTGAGAAATTATGCCTTTGAAGACTCTCACATAGACCTTTTAGTTTGAATAGACTCAACATATTGATCATATTGTTTTTTTTTATAAAATCCTGTGTCATCCCAGGATGTTAGAGAACTGTTCACCATATATATACCATATTTATCTATGTTTTTTAACGTCGGTTGACAATTCATATGCACAGGTCTGAGGAGGAAGTTTCCCAGATTGTCAAATCTTGTAATAAGCACAAGGTTTGTTTCTTGTTTGAGTTTAGGTTTATTAGTGATGCACTTCTCTTTCCTTTTACTATTTTAAGTAGAGCTTTTCATGTTTGGATTAAATATTTGGTATTTTCTTTTAATTGAATGATCCTTGATATATGATTTGGTGCCTATGCTTTTATGTATTAGTTAATGACTAGAAAGCTCTTAGTACAGGTTACAGACATTGTATATGAGCTTTGCCAGGGTACAGTAAAAATGTCTCGGTTCTTCTCGAGCAAGTATAAAATTTTATTTGGTTTTTAATGTTTGTAATCAGGTCCCTATAGTACCATATGGTGGAGCTACATCCATTGAGGGACACACTTTGTCTCCTAATGGAGGTGTTTGCATTGACATGACCTTAATGAAGGTATATTTAACCTCATTTCATGGATAACTTCAAAAAAATGAAGATTGAGTTATTCTCTATTTCCTTTTATTTGGTTCATTTATCAATACTGTTAAGCATGCATCTTATTCTATTCTGTTGCAATATACTCTTGCTAATAGTATTTGCATCTAACTGAATCTTGTCTTGTGGGCCTGTGGCATATGCTTTATAAGCATCTATGCATTGCGGTGTTCATTCTAGACCCTCTTTTTCAGTATAATCTGAGCTGAAACTTTATTATAACTCTTTTGATGACTAATTGACTTGGATTTGTTAATAACTTTGTAGCAGAAATCATCAATATTTCTCATCTTAGAAATTGAATTTGTAATTCTTTCCGTTCCATTTTTTAATTTGCAATAATAGGTGTGATTGTTTTCATTTGTAGAGAGTTAAAGCATTGCATATTCGGGACATGGATGTTGTCGTTGAGCCTGGAATTGGATGGATGGAACTTAATGAATATTTGGAGCCTTATGGTTTATTTTTTCCTCTTGATCCAGGTCAATTTGTTGGAGTTATCCTTGCAGCATTTCTTTTCTTAATATACAAATAAAATTTTATGAATTTCTGATACACTCCTTAATAAAAGAACCTTATGCATGTATTATTTATTGGAACTTGGGTCTAATGCCATCATCTTAAACCATGTTGACCTTCAGGGCCTGGTGCAACAATAGGGGGCATGTGTGCAACACGCTGCTCTGGATCTTTAGCCGTGAGGTAGTCACTACTCTGCCACTTTCTTTCTTAGCCTTTCCTAGTTGATCCCTTAGTCTGTTGAAAAGTTACGTCTGAAATCACTTATACTGAGGTTTGAGTAATTTTTCAGTTAGCACTCTTGTGTCAAATCAAGATTATTCAGATTTGAAATGAATGTTATTCCTCCTGGAACATGTACATGTCTGTTGTGCTCTTGTAGGTAAAATTGACAAAAGGGTTTGAAGTGGCTTCATGATTGTTTTTAAACTTAAAAAGGATGAACAGGCTTTGTTTCCTTTCTAAAAACATTTTATGCATTTAGGGCACATGTATCGTCAATCCCTTTCTTAAAAGCCTTTGCATCCCTTCCGGTAAAGAAAAATCAACATTAATGTCTCGTTTGTTTACATAATATTAAGATGAAGTAAAAAACAAGACCAATTCAAAATAAGTAAAATATTTTCCTTCTTGTACAGACTAAGTCATGAGTGGCTAAAAATTATCAAGGTAGTTTATTGCTAACTAAGCTACTAAAACATGAGAAAAAATAACACTCCCACCAAACATAACATAGAAGCATTTAAATATCTGAAAGGCACATACTGAGTCAGCTAGTGTTATTAGTGACATTTTTCAGTAGAATAGTGATCTAACCTTTCATTACTTTAAGGGTAAAGACGGCAATATTGTGAAATTCATTGTAAAATGCATGTTTGTGACAGTTCCTCGGCTTACATTCCATAGGTTTCCTGAAGAAAACTTCATTATTGTCCTGCTCATAGCCTTATGGCATCTAGTTATTCCTTTTTTATCATATCTCCAGAGCTTATTCATAGCAAGGCTGGAAGGTGAATATTTTTAGTAACGTCTCAATTTCACCAGTTCATAAGTTTATTTATTTTAAGAAAACCGTCAATGAAGTCTACCTGTACCTTTTGTTGATTATCATCTTTCAGAACTGATACAAAAATTAGTTAACGTTTTACTTATGAATTGATTCTCTGGTGAAATTTGATTGTAGAATCTTAAGGAGTTTCCTAATTCTAAAGGGATGTAGCAGATACTTGAACCTGAGAACTTTTTACCTTCAAACTATGTCCCTTTTTTGTCTAATCCTGAGATTTCAAGATGCCACAATCAAGAATGCTGCTCTAAAATGGGTTAAATTTCTTTATATATGCATTGGTTGGTAAAAGGCTTGCTACACATTGATGTTCACATGTAATTTTTTTTCTGCTTACACTTGCATCAGGCAGATGGTTTCTTGGTTGCACATGTTAGTTTGTTAAATATGTATTTGCATGTTTATATATATAATGCTTAAAGGGTTTTTATTGTTTATTGAATTTAATGATTTTGGTTTTATCATGTAGGTATGGTACTATGCGCGACAATGTAATCAGTCTTAAGGTTTGTTGATTACTCTTCCAATGGATTAACTTGTTCATCAGTTAAGTATTTCTCACACATTGTATTTACCAGGTAGTCCTTGCCAATGGAGATATTGTCAAGACGGCTTCTCGTGCTCGGAAGAGTGCTGCTGGGTATGTTGTCTTGTCACCTATGTCCTTCAACCATCTCTCCCCCACTCTCTTTCCTGCCGGATGTGTGCTAATATTTCAAGCACTGTCATCTATTTTTCAGTTGTTAAAGGCTCTTGAAACTTTTGAGAGTCTTCTCTGAATACTTGGAGGTATTTTAAGAAATTCCTTCATTTCTTCAGGCCCACGAGGTTCTGAATTCTCTGAATTCTACGAGTTTTATGGCATTAGAGTGAAAAAGAGAAATGTACTGACTTTAAAATTTAATCCTGTTACCTAAATTAAGGTAGCAGTGTTCAATATGTGTTCAAGTGGCTAATTCTTCATTAGTCCAATTTTTTGGATTCATGCATTTGGTTAAAATATTTCCCAAAAATAAGATATGGTTACGCGAGCATGTTATATTAAATATTTGTAAAATATATATAATAATTCATTAATACACCATATAAAAAATATTCTTATTATTATTACTACAAAGAAATAAAATATTTTTCTTTGAAAATGTTTCCTTTATCAAATTTATTTTGACCTACATTTTGTTTTGAATAATTTAATTCCATCAATTAGAGAAGATCCTACAAACAAAATAAAGCTCAAATATTTGTATATTAAGCTACTTTAACGACAGCTTAATTATGCCTTAATTTATCATTATTTTTCCTGTAACAAACCCACAACTTCTTGTTTATGTCTCTTCTACAATCCTTTCATTCCTTCTAGACCATATTTCGTTAGCATCAAAGCCACCACAGCTTCCTCTTTTCCTTCTTACAGCCCAAGAGACTGTCCAAAAATTTATTAAAGTGCTGGTTGCATACTGTGTCAGAACTAGTGACATGTCATATTGACACTTGTATAATGGCCAATGACAGAGTACATGTAACACATGGATTTAAGCTGGGCTTTTGGCTGTATGTATAAGCAACAAATTTAATTTTCTTGTTGAACATGGTTTGAAGTGTTGTTGCTCAAATCACGTATACTCACTCACCTGCAGTTTTTTTATTTTACTTTAATGTTTTCTTGCCTTTTTAAGTCTCATTCTTCATCTGTTCAGTAACGTTTCACTGTTAATCCAAGTTTTTACTGAGTCAGGCTAGCATGGTATAGTAGTTATACATGCAAAAGATTATCGGTTTTTTTCCCATTCAGATTATGCATGTTTTGTTTATTTATCCTCAATGTTTTTGGGATGTTATTCTCATTGGAATTTATGATTTTAGGTATGATTTGACTCGCCTGATGATTGGAAGTGAGGGAACCTTGGGTGTAGTAACAGAAGTCACTCTACGGCTTCAGAAAATTCCTGAGCATTCAGTGGTACATTGACCTAAACCTTTCTCTGCTTGAAGTCATCTCTTTTGCAATTTATACTTCTTTCCTTTGACAATAGGATTTAAAATGTATTTCGATTTGACTCTCTTAAGTTATTCAACTCTAATCATTAAGATCTGTTCTGCAGTGAACCATTTAGGACAAGTTTTGGGTGATCTGTAAATGAATGATTATGGGACAATGTTTTATCTGCTGGTGGTGTGTTCTTTTGTGTGTTTAGATATGGTTTCATTTAACTGAATCTGGCTACAGAAGAATGGTTGGAAACTGAAAACTATGACAGTGGTATCTTATAGCAGAAAGATAAGTTTTTGACAAAATATTCAGAAAGTTAATTCCTCGTAGTTTGTCAGGAAATTTTTGGGATTTATGGTTTGAGTGTTCAAGAGAGCAAGTTGGAGATATACTTCAATAAGAAACCTAGTTTCATGGAATTACTAGTTTACTGTGAAGTAAAAAGTTACTTTACATGTTTAAAAGTTACAAGTGCAAGCAAGAAGAAAGAAACGTTTAAAAGTTACAAGTGCAAGCAAGAAGAAAGAAACAAAATAGTAGTTTGTCGGGGAATTTGTACGATTTAAGGCTGGTTCAAGGAATAAGGAAGAAAATCAAGTCTTGCTACTTTGAACTTCAGAGTTATGATAGATGCATAAGAATTAGAAGTGCAAGCAAGTAGATTGAAGAAACAACCTATTGACTCTTGATTTTGTGTTTGTACTGTTATATATTTTTTTTGTTACTTCTTGTGTTGTATTTTAGATCTTAATTTTTGTGCATTTTTTGACTTATTTTATAATATTACAGGTTGCAATGTGCAACTTCCCCACAGTTAAGGATGCAGCAGATGTTGCTATTGCCACCATGTTGTCTGGTATTCAGGTATTGTTATACTTTACCTGTTCATTATTTTAATTGTTGGCACCATTTTTTTCTTTAGTTCAACCCTTGTTTTATAGGTGTCAAGGGTTGAACTATTGGATGAAGTCCAAGTAAGGGCTGTCAATATTGCTAATGGGAAGAATTTGCCTGAAGTTCCAACACTGATGTTTGAATTTATTGGCACAGGTGACAGGATTGCTCCCTTTTTTCCTTTTGATTATTTTCTCTTCTATTTCTTCTTTAATAACAAGTTAGGGAGATTTTATTGCTAAGTAATTTGGATAGAATAATCTAATCTTACTACTTCAATTGAACATTTTTCATACTGGCAGTTAATTATATTAGGCATGTTGGGTTGTAGTCTTAGTAATTGGAACTGGAAGGTTCCTACTACATCCATGATATTTGTCACGTAGCAAGAGATATGCAAAAAAAAGAAAAGAAAAGGAGTACGTGAACTTCTGATTTTTCCAGAAGAGAGTCGAAGGCTGGCCTCTTTGTGTCAATTCCTGAGTCCACTAGGTTCAATCATGTTGGCATATTTAAGCTTTTCCTTGTTAGTTGTCATGGATCCTAAAATATTTATTACATTTTTAGAGGCATATTCTCGTGAGCAAACGGACATTGTTCAAAGAATTGTTTCTGAGCACAATGGCTCAGATTTTGTTTTTGCAGAAGAGCCCGAAGCTAAAAAAGAACTTTGGAAGGTAAAATAGCTTAAAGTTTTTTGCACTTCATTTGTAATTTTTTTCTGGCTGATAACTTCTTTTGAATGTTTTTCAAGTTCTCTTTTATTTTCTAAGGCTTTTTCCATTCATTTTTGTAATTATTACATAAATAATGAAATTTGTTATATATTGAATTGTGTTCTATAACTTGGCAAACCAGAGTAGAAATGAGACTATTTTAGCCAATATTCCTTGCCATTTGACAAGACTTCTTTCTGCTAGAATTCAGTTGACTGGCACATTTAATTTTGACTGATGCCTATGCATGACATTTTAGTTATATATTGAAGAGGGAGGCTGGGAGTGTTATTGAACTTAGAAATTTGACCTGATTTAGTTAACACTGACTGAGTGCACTATCAGAAACATTTCTCCACAAGTTATGTTCATTTTACTTGGGTGCAGATTAGGAACTACGATGGTTCCTGATTTGATACTTACTCTTCTCTTCTTTGATATATTTGGTTCCATGCAGATTAGGAAGGAAGCTCTATGGGCATGCTTTGCAATGGAACCCAATTTTGAAGCAATGATTTCTGTAAGTTAAAATACAAGAATTACTTTATATGGATGGGAAGTAACCGAGCTAAAATTATCGAATTGTCATTACCAGATCTTCGAAGTTGGTAGGAGCTCTTTACCTAATTTCTGTTTTCTGTTGAACGTAGGATGTTTGCGTTCCCCTATCACACCTAGCAGAACTAATATCAAGGTCCAAGAGAGAGCTGGATGCATCACCACTGGTTTGGTACGTACATTAAACTATATTACCTCATTGGTTTTCCATTTCGGGAGCTGCAGTGGTAGTGTTTGGTGTTCTCTTGACCCGATTCTGATAACGCTTGATGCTTTTGTGGTTCATAATTACAGTACAGTTATTGCCCATGCTGGTGATGGGAACTTTCACACAGTAATTCTGTTTGATCCTAACCAAGATGAGCATAGGATAGAAGCTAAAAGGCTAAATCAATTTATGGTTTATACAGCTTTGTCAATGGAAGGTGAATCCTGTCTTCTTGGTACTCTTATCAGTTTATTTCGGATGAATGAACAATTTCTAATTCTGCTCTAACATGCTGTTATCGATAATTTCAACAATCTTATAAATGGACAGGAACATGCACTGGTGAACATGGCGTGGGCACTGGGAAAATAAAGGTATATCTGTCTTATTGGATTTCATGCGGTTCGGTTTAGGCTGCAAAGATGCCACTTTTTGGTGGTTTCTACCACAAAGTCACCATCACAGGCCAAGCCTTATTATTTATTAGCACCAATAATAATGAATTCTCTAAGATGTTTCATATAGTCTTTCCTGTCTATGTTGGTGAAGATGTAGTTTTTAATGTTTTGCTTTATGTTTTCAGTATCTCGAAAAGGAACTTGGAATAGAGGCATTGCAGACAATGAAACGGATCAAAATAGCTTTAGATCCTAACAACATCATGAATCCAGGAAAGCTAATTCCTCCCCATGTTTGTTTCTAAAACCATTAGTCCATCTGCTGTTGCTGGTATATGCATGACTACTATTTCAGTCGCTGCTTCCGAAATCATGATGACGATGTTTTTCATCGTTGTACCGACCGGGGAGTCGGTTTTGACTCGCTGAATATGAGTTAGCGACAATGTTGTTGTTATCCTTCATTTCTTTTCATGATCTTATCCCTGGTTATATATTGCAATGTCTCCTTGGAGTAAGAAAACTAAGAATAAATTAGCGCATTAAAAAAAAGGATTTTCATTGCTAGTTGGCTTTTATTTTTTTGGGTACAAAACCATTGTTTCTTTAGCTTTTTCCAAGTCTGTATTTTGGTCGGATGGAACTTCCTCCTTTCCTTGCACCCGGGGATGAACTGAGGGGACAGTCGGGCAATCTCTTTTCAAAAAATTTCAAATTCTCATATATTTCAAATATTTTTCTTTATATTTTTAACTGATAATCTATGTTTGCCCATTTTAAAATTTTATAAATTTGTTTATCTTAAAATTTTGTAAATTTACTCTTCTAATATAAAATCATGTATACGTTCCTGATTTCAATTCCTCTGTAACGGAACAAAAACTAGAAACTCCACAAATTAGATCCCAAGATTTTTACCCCAAGATAGTTTTCTAGCCCCAACAACCAGTTGATTCCTATGTTGAATGTTTTTGATATATTGAGCTCAGATTAATTTTATGGGTAAAGTATATAAATAGTACTAGACTTTTAGGGCGTTTGCATTTTAGTCACCCAACTTTTGAAACATGCAATACATTCATTGAATTTTTAGTTTGTTTTCAGTGGTCTCTGTCGCTATCTTCCGTTAGTTTTTGCTAGCGTGGCACTTAACGTCGTTAACCCTCCTTATTCTTCTTCTTTAAGAGCTTAAGCCCATAGCTTCTTTTTCTTCTTCTTCGAGAGCTAAAACCCATAGCTTCTTCTTCAAGAGCTTAAACTCATAGCTTCTTCTTCTTCTTCACAAGTTTAAACCCATAGCAATTAAAAAATAAAACAATGTTAACCCTTTTCCCATCTAGACCAAAGGTCCAAAATCATATCCTAAAACCAAAAAAAAATGCCACCATTTTCCAGCAATCAAACAGGAACTGTATATTGTTTTAAAGAAAAATTACAAGAACTATAAGACAAAGTCAAATTTTGAAGCAAATGAATCCTGAAAAGGAACAATTAAACTAATAATCGACACAAAACATCTTAATCGAACAAAGTACAAAAACAAAAGTAAGATTTCAGCATTCATCCATTTTCACAAAAGCAAAACAGACCCAAGGAAAAAAAATGAGGATTAGGAAAAGAAAAGACAAAGTTCAGGGATTTTTGCTAGATTACCATAACAAAATTATTAGCTCAACAAGGTCTCTTTGGAGAAAAGTCCTCTTGATGAACTATGTCTCCAGCTAAACCCAAACCAAAGAAAAATGCTCTATTCATTTCCATATTAGGAAATAATTAGCTTAAAGAAAAGGGTTCTAGGGTTTTTTTTCTTCTTATTCTTTTCAATCTTTCTTCAAAGTAAAAAACACGAAAGATCAAAGAATGTGAAGACAGATGTGAAGCGAAAAGAAGAAGAATGAGAAGAAGAAGAAGAAGAAGAAGAAGAAGAAGAAGGAAGTGCCACATCAGCAAAAACTAACCGGAGGTAACGACAAAGACCTGAAAACGGATTAAAAGTTCAATGATTGTATTGCAAGTTTCAAAAGTTGTGTGACTAAAATACAAGCGTCCTAAAAGTTCGGGGACTATTTGTACACTTTACCCTAATTTTATTCGAGAATTTAAGTTAGATTGACTTTTTATGTATTGTTTAAATTTTAGACTTACGAATAGATTTTAGTTAAATTATTATATGCTTTTTAGCATAAATCATTGCATAAATCATTATATTATTTATTTATAATTAGAATTGGTTACAACCCTAAAATAATATTTTGAGAAAAAAGAAAAGAATTTTTTGTATAACAAAGTTCACACGTGGTTACTCGAAAGATGTGTAGTAGCATAAAATTGTATGTCTATTATTGATTTTAGAAAAGGCTTGACATTTAAGAATGTCTTACACACTACATATCTCTCATGGGAACCCATTCGATGCATTATTCATTAATTATGCTTATTATTTCAATATTCAATTATGATGACAAATTTGATCCATCGTATAATTTATTGTAGAAATCTAAAATGAGAAATTATAATAATGTTAAGTCAAACATTAGTTTGGTCGAACTAGCTGACATAACAGAGAAATGATAATCATGTTAAGTCATGCGAATTTGGTTAAAGTAAACAGTATAATCTTCTGATCATTCTCGAGTTAATATTATGATTAAAATAAAATAGTAGATGTGTAACTCCTAGATTCAGTCTAAACATTACGATTAAATCTTGAAGATCATAAATATAAATTAATGAAGCATAGCTTTCAAGGCTCATAAACAATCGTCATATTAATTTATTGAGAAAATATCCAAAATAGCTTCATAATCATAACAGGTTGCGACATAAAATATGTATAATTTAATATTAAAATCAAGTGTCTACAGTATAATGCATGCTAAAAACATAATCCAAAGCTCCATAAAAACATCTCAAATACATAAAAGTATACAAATTTGATAGGAAAGTTAATAAATAAAACAAAGTTTGATAATAGTATATAATGAAATATACTACTAGTCGATCCTCCAAGTAACCATTAGAACCCTAAATGCTAGATAAATCTAAAACGAGAGATTATAAGAGTGAGCTATATAGCTAAATGTTCCGTTTAAGTAAAAATAAGCATTAACGTAAAAACATAGATAATTCATACATGGCATAACATACAACATTGTAATCAGGCAAGCAAGTAAATCTGACCGCCCGTCATTGGAACGCCATAACAAAAGGTTATCATAACCTCATTTTTCATTACAACTATAGAGGATGGGACCTGACCCTTTGATGGGGAGCTGAGGACCTCTAAAAATGGACCCAAAATAGGAAACATGATGGGGGCTTTGTCCTCCGAAGAGTAACCCGAGTTAACCTCTAAAAAGGTACTCAAAATAGGAAACATGATGGGGACCCTATCATATAAAGAGGAACCCAAGTTAAGAGGAACTCAAAACAGAACACAAGACGAGAACCTTATCATTTGAAGAGGAACCCAGAACTTTTGTACAAAGTCTTAATATAGAAATTTTCTACTAAATTTTCTGAAACTCTGATAACATGAACAAGACTTGAGTCATATATGATCATATCATTTTTTAGAAATTAAGTATGCTTGGATAGCATATAAAAGAAAAATAGAACATACTTGCGGGCATAAACTATACAATATAACAATATGTACACAAGTTGTTAGCACTCGAGGCAATCTAATAACAAGTAAATCATATTAAATTTAGCATAAAAAGCATAAAATGTAGCCGTGGTCAATGAGCACACATATAGCAACTAAACAATACTAATTATGCTTTACGCTTTTCATGATCAATAGTACTAGATCTCACGGAGTAAGAATGCTTAACTCGAGGTGAACGTGCGGAGTTGAGTTGGACTGAATGGACGTTGTCCTGATCTACTAGGGATCGACACAGAGACACGTCAGTACCAAGGTTGGTTCATGATGATATACGTTTGCTCCTTAAACCCCCTCTAGTGGTTTTAAAACTTTTTTTTGCAGGTAAGCAGTAATTGCGAGAAATAAAGGATTTCAAGACTATATTTTACCCCTAACGGTCATAAACAACTAGAAACTCATTATTCATTATAAAAACAACCCAATGACACTCTAAAAAGATTACTACACCTATTCAAGCTTAAAGATCAAGAGAAAAGAAATTTCATTCTTAATTCTTTCATTTTCTTTTGTACAGTGTATAAAACTTCATTGAATATTTTTTGTATTTATTTTTTGTGAGCTTTATCTTTGTAAACACACATCTAGAAAGGTAACTTTTGTCTACACAAATCAAACATTATAAAAGGGAATGGTTCTAGTTTAGTCTTAGAAAAATTAGATTGGTCTTATCTTAGTCATTGTAAAAGATAGAGTTGTAAAGGTTAAACCTTTTCCTTGAAAGGTTCAATTCAAGTTACTAAAATGGAAAATCCTTGGTGGTGAAAAGATAAAGTAGTGATGTAGACTTTGGCTGAGAAAGTTAAACCAATATAAATCGATTGTGCCAAAAGTTTTTATTTGTTTAAGCTTCCACCAAATTTTCTAAAAGCAAATTCATCACATTGACAGTTTTCGGTTGATCGATTGAGCTAACGAGTTATAAATTTGTTTTTTTATATAATATGATTTTAAGTAGTCTAGAGCAATTATAAGGTAGTATTTGTTCATACTTTTTGTCCTATTAACAACATGCATACACCCTACGTATGTAACTAATCAAACTCGAGTCCCATAAGGAGAACAACGTTTTCTTTTACTATTAAGGCCACTAAACATAAAACCCTATACTCAAATACTATGAATGAATATCAAAGATCACAATAAAATAAATTTATAAAACATAGCTTTTAAAGCTCATTAACAATCATCGTATCAATTTTACTGAGCAAATATCCAAAATAACTTCATAATCGTAAAGAGCAGTGACAACAAATTCATATAATTTAATAATAAAACCAAGTGGCGATAGTATATAATTTACTGAGAAAATATCCAAAATAACTTCATATAATTCATATAATTTTCCATAAATATATAATATCTTGAAAGTCTCCAATGCATAAAAATGCCCCATGTAAATGTCCCGAAAACATAGGTGCACACTCAACATCCAAGCACGATTATCCTGCCAAGATCAAAAAGGGCATTGTGCTCTCTTTTCCTTGATAGTGAGAGTTGTGCAAATGTCATTAGAAGCTAACATGTCGATGCACTTTTTTATCTTGCCAACGACATCCTAAGCCATATCATCCCCAATAGATTAATGAATGTTTTGAAGTTGAGGTAATCAAAGAGTTAGAATGACGAGACTTGTTGAACAAATGATACATCCGATAGAGTATAATTCTTTCTTCTTCTTTTTTGCTTGGCAGAGGTCAATTTATTTAATTAAAAATCTAGCCGAACAAAAACCAGAACACTCAAAGGAACACCACCACCTACAAATGCAACTCTAGAGCAGAAGGCACCACCATCCAAATGAAGCAAAACACTACAACCAGCTAAGCAATTAAAACTAACGACAACAAAGCAATTCCAAACGAAGGAGCTTCCTCGACACCAGCAACGCATACAGTGACAACAAAAGCA